ATTAAGGTGTTTGCTCTTACTGTTGCTCAATAATTCATAATCTTTAATATTCATTATTTGAGGTATCATATCTTTGAATCTATATTAGTTTAGATTTGCTATGTTACTAACTCAACAATGAACTAGTGACGAACCACACTGGTTCCTAGATATATATGAACTTCTAGAAATACCCCCCCAATGTTGATATTTGAGACTTTGACTTTAATTAATTAATAATACAGTCTATTCCTTATTTTCAAGTGATTATTCATTTAATTATTATGCATAGGCACTGGTGTCAATCTAATAATCACCATTATTCGTTTTCCCTCTTTTCTCAAAAGTGGGTGGTCCTTCGATTTATTTAAACATAATAATCAAATAATTTAATATATTAGTTCAAGCCCCAGATAACCCAACATGCATACTGGGTTGCACAGTTACCAGTCAGCTGGACAGCAGCTAATCAACAACATTACACACCCTTAACCCAGTGATACGACACATCCCTACCCCAGTATTACTAAACACCCCTACCCAAGTGATAATACAAACCCCGACACCAGTTATAGTATCCACCCCTACCCCAGTGATTCTATGCACGCCTACCTTAGTGATTTACACAACCCTACCCCAGTGATACTACACATCCATACCCCCAGAGATACTTCACACCCGACCCCAGTGACACTACACATCCATGCCCCAGAGACACTACACACACCAACACACCAATGATGCTTCACACCACTATAGCAAAGATTTAAACATCCACACCCCATTGATACTAAACACTCTTTCCGCAGGGATTTTCACATCCTTACCCCAGTAATACTCTACACCCTTACCCAAGTCATACTACAGACCCCTAACCCAGTAATAATGCACACCCCTTCCTAAGTGATTTACCCATTCTTATCCCAGTGATACTACACACAGCCCTTCCCCAGTGACTTACACACCCCTATCCGAGTAACACAACATACACCCTTACACAGTAATACTACTCACCCCTAACCCAGTTATTCACACATTCTTACCACATGATGCTACACACCCCCTACCCCAACTGATTTAAACATCCCTCCCTAAGTGATACTACACATCCCTACCCCAGATTTTTACACACACCATCCCAAGTGATTTACACATCCCTACACCAGTGACACTACACACCTTTAATGTGTGTAGTATGCTATACATCCTTACCCAAGTAATTTAAAAAAAAACCACCCCAGTAATTTACAAACCCCTACCCCAGTGATATTATATCACCCTATCTTGAGATAATTTCGGGGCTTAGCGTCCCCGTGGCCCGGTCCTCGACCAGGCCTCCTTTTTGTTACACCCCCCCCCCAGGAAGCAGTCCGTAGCAGCTGTCTAACTCCTAGGTACCTATTTACTGCTAGGTAACAGGGGCATCAGGGTGAAAAAAACAATTTGCCCATTTGTCTCCACCTCCACCGGGGATCGAACCCGGAACCTCAGGATTACGAATCCAAAGCGCTGTCCACCCAGCTGTTAGGCTCCCTTATTCCTATTCAGCCTCCCAGCTATTCAGGCTTACCCTTACTCCAGCCATACTACACACCCCTACCCTGTGTGATCCATATCCCTACCCCAGTGATAATACACATACCTATCCCATTGATAATTCACACCCTTACCACAGAGATTTACACATCCCTACCTTAGAGATACTAAATACCTTTGATACTTCACACCTTTACCCCCAGTAATGCTACACACCCCTACCCAAGTGATACTACACACCGCCTACCCCAGTTATACTATACACCGCTACCCTAGTGATAAACACACATTTACCCCAGTGATACGACACACCCTTACCATTAATACTTCACACTCCTACCCCAGTTAGTTACACATACCTACCCCTGTGACTTACATATCCCTATCCAAGTGATATCACACACTTTTACCCCGGTAATACATCACATCATTACCCCAGTGATTTACACGCTCCTATCCCAGTAATATTTATTATGAACCCCAGGTAGCCCTAATGAGGTAGGTCTGTCTTTTGAGAGTTATTCCACAGCAGCTGCCTACCCAAACGTATGTACCAGTCAAGAAGATAAAGGGTGCCCTAAAGTTTCTAGGAACAAGGAGATTTATGGTTTATCGGATTTTGCCCTGCTTGGGAGGCAGGGTATAATGTTTATAGCTATGGCCGGCAGTAGGGAGTCTCGTGGTAGCTGCGGAACTGGAAAGTTCCGCAGCTGGAACTTCTTATCTCTGTCAATGGCAGCAACGAAGTGTAACAAATATGTCTGACTCGATATGATCTTGTTGCCCAAGTCAAGTCTGCAGTATGAGAGTATTGAATGGAAGACTAACCGGGTGTGTAGCGTTTTAGTGATGGTTCAGTATTAGAGAAATAAGTGGATGTTACGAGTAAAGGTCATGACCGGAGAGGTTGAGTGGGTTTATGGGTATGGGAAGCTGGTCTAACCAGTGAGAGTAAGTTAATGTGTTATTCATTGTCTGAGTCTATTTATGTAATTAAAGTGGAAGAACCCGAAGGCCTTTAATCACCTTCCATATGTCCTTTCATTGAGTTCCTGTGTAAACCTAGTGGTACTCCTCAAGGGTCTGGTGTGGAGAATTACATATTGGTAGTAACTGTTCCTGAGGCAAGTAGTTATAGTTGTATAATCGTTGTGTTCGTATTGAACCGGGGTTCAGCGATCACGACAACACATCCCTTCTCCAGTGATACTTCAAACCCTCTACCCTAGAGATTTAATCATCCCTACTCAAGTGATACTACATACTCCAACCCTAGTGATATTATACAGCCTTACCCAAGTGATACTACACATCTCGATCCCAGTAATATTTTACACTCTTACCTCAGTGACACTACACACCCCTACCCCTGTGATTTACAAATCACTACCACAGTAATACTCACTCCCTTACCCCAGTGAATTACACATCTTTATCTCAGTGATACTGCACACCCCTGTGCTTTACACCTACACTGATACTACACACCCATTACCCAAGTAATTTGCACATTGGAAGAGAAGTGAATGTACGTACCACTATTTTGCGGTTTGCGGTAAACAGAGAAAGAGAAGCCAGACACAGAGCTGTGAACATGAATAGGAAGAAAAGGAAGGAGGGAATTAGATTTCAGCTCAACATTGTAGTTGGTGGAAGGAGCAGGTTGTTAAGATAGGAAAGGCTATAGAGCAAAATGCCATCATCATAGCTTAGCCAGAGAGACGAGTATCGCGTGTTTACCTGAAACCCAGGCATAGTGATAATGAGTACATTGACTTCTTTTTGCTAACATCCTCCATCTGTTAAGTAATTTTTTCTCGTTTCTCTCTTTCTCTGTGGTCTATACATCAGTGGTTCAGTTTCTTGATTCAGAAATTTATTTTATTTACAAATCTTTCTCTCGCCTTACATTTGATAAACTTTGCCTATTTTCAAGCTAAACCTATATTTTTTTTCCATCCCAAACCTGTTTGCAACACTAATACCTCTGTGCCCTGCCTTCCCGTCATATTTGAACTCCAAAATCTCACCAATGCCTTTCATCCTCTTGATGTAAAGTTCGCTTGTCGATTAACCAACACTCTTCGTAGTAGTCTGGTTCACACTGCTCCTCCTGCTTCTAATGCTATAACTATAGTGTCAGCTATATTTCCTGTTCGTCTTGTCCTCTACAATACTTTGGTGAAACTGGCCGTACACTAAATGACAGACGTAATGAACACAAAAAAGAAGTGCTAAGTCTTCAGATACAAACAAATATTTGTGATATTATGGACTTCTGTCATGTTAAGGACTTTAGCCATCCTCTAGATTGGTCTTCATCTAAAATAATCTTTCCTACCTCTACCATTCACAGAAGCTGTCTTGTCCAATCGACTTTGATACACAAAATGCCCAACATGACCCTTAATCCTGGCTTTGTTGCTGTTTACTCTTCCCTTTCACAATACATACATAAATGCTTTAACCTTCCTAACAAACATGACCTGACCTAAGCCTTCCACTTTGTCTTACTCCCTTTTCTTTTTTCTTACCTTCCTCTTATTCTTACATTCCTCTACAATACTTTGGTGAAACTGTATTGGTGAAGCAGTTTGGTGAAAATGTTTCATGAAGAATGAAACCATTCATTCTTTATCCTATTATTACACTCATCACATTCGTGCCATTCTTGCCATTAACCTTACCCTTCTTCTAGCAATTGCCTTCTCTTACCTGCTCCCCACCTCACTCCCATTTCTTTATTAGCTCGTTCCTTCCTCTCTTCCTGGAAGTAAGATTAACAGTTAATCTTCATCAATCAATCTTTACGGGCTATTCATGCCCGTTCCACCTCTTGAGTGGCTTAATCTTCATCAATCATCATCAATCAATCAATCTTTTCTTGGCACATCTGTGCCAAGTGAGTACGACGGACTCACAATATCCCATGCTGCTTGGAACTTTTTGTACCGAGTAGTTGAATCTAAAACAACAACTCTCTCCCTCACACACGACTTGATAATGGTCCAGGATGGCCCGAAACGTCGTCCTTTCTCCATCTTCTGATGTTTAGTTTGGTCATCATATCTTCACCCACAGTATTGTGACTCATCGTCTGCAACTCCTTTCTTCGTTCAATTCCAAATCCCTATCCTCTTCCCTTCTAATTGATGTATAGTCATAATGGCTTTACATTATCTCCTGATATTTACTTTACCATACACTTAACAGGTCTGCATGTGGCATGACAGTATCACTCTTGGAACGTACTCCTGAAGTAAGGTAAGGTAATAAAACTTAGGCACTTACATCTATGATATATGAACACTGCATTGTAGTTCCCACCCTCGGGTAACTGGTGTTCTATCCCATATTACATAATGTTATCAGACGACCTTTTTCAACTTGAGCCACTGTGCGTCACACTTAAATATACAAAGATGATGTTCGTAGAACACTGTTAACTCGGTGTCAGTACAATCTAAGGTAATATTATAGCTAACCTTTGCGTGGTAGTTTCCGTCTTGTTCCCTTGGCACTCTGCTAGTTCTTGCTCCAAGATGTCCATTTCATTCTGCAGAAGTTTCTTGTCCTCCTGAAGGTCTCGTATTAGCTGTGTCTGGTTCTGAAGCAACACAATATTTTCCTCCAACTGGTCACTCACCTCCTTCAGTGACTCTTCTCTCTCCAGAAGAGTTACTTTCTTCAGAAGCAACAGCTCTGCATTCTGTTGGGCGTCTGCTTTCTGCTGGAGAATCTTCTGATTGAGGACTTCAATTTCCCGCATCAGATGCTGGGTAACGTTGTTCTCATGAGTCACATCTATCACAACACATAAGAACAATAGTGTTAAATATTAATTGTAAATATCAGTCATCTGAATACTTTGCATATGTTGCTTACATAATACCTTTCATACGAAAATCATGCAAGAAATTTACAATTCTAATAAAATTTGAAAATTACATTTTCATATAGACAAATCATTTCATGAGTAGGAATAGTGCTTTTAAAGAAAACCTTCGCACGTCAAATGGAACATTTTGCAAAAGGCGAATGTTAGTGTGTTTACATGCCAACCTGGGTGGGAATTGTCCACTACCAAGAAAGGCCCTCTGCTACCCAAAGCATCTTTCAGGGTCATATATATAAATATATATATATATATATATATATATATATATATATTATATATATATATATATATATATATATATATATATATATAGATATATATATATATATGTCGTACCTAGTAGCCAGAACTCACTTCTCAGCCTACTATTCAAGGCCCGATTTGCCTAATAAGCCAAGTTTTCCTGAATTAATATATTTACTATAATTTTTTTCTTATGAAATAATAAAGCAACCTTTTCTCTATGTATGAGGTCAATTTTTTTTATTGGAGATATATATATATATTATATATATTATATATATATATATATATATATATATATATTATAAATATATATATATATATATATATATATATATATATATATATATATATATATATATATATATATATATATATATATATATATATATATATATATATATATGTCGTACCTAGTAGCCAGAACTCACTTCTCAGCCTACTATGCGAGGCCCGATTTGCCTAATAAGCCAAGTTTTACTGAATTAATATATTTTCTCTAATTTTTTTCTTATGAAATGATAAAGCTACCCATTTCATTATGTATGAGGTCAATTTTTTTTTATTGGAGTTAAAATTAACGTAGATATATGACCGAACCTAACCAACCCTACCTAACCTAACCTAACCTATCTTTATAGGTTAGGTTAGGTTAGGTAGCCGAAAACGTTAGGTTAGGTTAGGTTAGGTAGGTTAGGTTGTCGAAAAAACATTAATTCATGAAAACTAGGCTTATTAGGCAAATCGGGCCATGCATAGTAGGCTGAGAAGTGAGTTCTGGCTACTAGGTACGACATATATATATATATATATATATATATATATATATATATATATATATATATATATATATATATATATATATATATATATATATATATATACTATATATACATATATATATATATATATATATATATATATATATATATATATATATATATATATATATATATATATATATATATATTGGTGTATACTGACAGGAGGTTTATTTTATGCATGTCTCAATGAAAATGAAAGCATATCTGCATTAACTATTTTCTGGTTTAGGGCGTCTAGTGCTCTTGCATCAGGGTTCAGCTGGAACAGGAGTTAACCAAAAGTCATGTTCGTTTGAAAACGAACATGAGGCTCTTATCCTCCATGGCTTATGCTCCCTGTAGTAAGTCAAAAAATTAATTTGGTGACTTCAGTCTGAAAGCACAAAGTACAAAAGGAGTCAGCACGCAGTTGAGTCACTTAGCTAGTCTGTATGTGGGTGTGGGTATCTGGCTGATGATTGGCTCAAGTGGGTTTCTAGGCTTGTGGGTCTTGACATTTCCATACACATAACCAGTTGTTTTTTTTGGCAGGAATATTCCTGTGTGGGCCCTAAGCCTCTGGCTGGCCCACTAAGTGTTGCCTGTTTCTGTTTTACTTGGGCGGAGTATGAGTATTTATGACACGTATGGTCGCTTCAGTAAGATTTTTCCAATTGTGTTTAACAACTTCTTCTGCTCTGTTGAATCTAAGTTGAAATCCTAATGGGTTTGTAACTGTGCACTGTATTAAATAATGTTCCAGTGGTCTGTCGGGCATTTCTTCACAGTGCTGACATTTCCTCTCATCTTCCGGAACCTGTAAGCCTATATCCATGCATATGGGTATCCAAGCCTGATGCGATATAAGTGTACTTCTGTTGCTCTACTGCTCACTTTCATCGAATTAAGTGGTTCGTAGTTGGTTGAATTCTTGTACCAACCCGCAGATCCTGATGTTGCAACTGCTGTGTTGTGATCACTGTACATCTTTTGCATTGCTCTGTTTCTAATTACTTTCTTAATCTGTGATAGACTCTGTGGAATGTAAATGTCTACATTTCTTCTCTTAGTTGCAAGTTTTGCAGCTTCGTCCTATTATTTTCGTCCGATTTCCTATTATTCCCACATGATTTGGCACCCAGTTGATAAGTACCCGTCGGCTTTGTCGTTTGAGTGTTTGCATTAATGATATGACATTTGTGATCAGATGTATGTTATCACATATGTGTTCTTGTTGCAAGGTTTCAATGGCGGTTCTCGAATCTGTATGAATGATAACATGTTGTTGGTGTTCAGCAAGAGCATGTTCCAAAGCCTTTTGAATAGCTAGCATCTCTGTTTGTAAAGTCGAACACCCATTTGAGAGCCTCCAACTATTTACAGAGTTTCCTGCTTTAACTGCAGCTCCGGTTTCTTGTCCCTGCTGGTCTACTGATCCATCTGTGAAGTAGGTGAAGCTGTCGGATGCCATGCTTGCTTCTATATGCATTTGTGCAATGTTACGTAGCAGATGAGGATTTGTCTGGTTCTTTTTTCCTTCAATAACCATAATCTTAAAGTCTGCTGGCGAATATTCCCAAGGGGCTTGCATAACAAAGTCTGCATGTATTTCGTCGACACCCTTCTCAGTGACTGTGTTTGTTATATCGAATGTATTGATGGTGTTTATCGCACAATGGGGCCACCTGTTGCTATTGGAGGCTCTTCTGTCCTCCGATTGCATTGATAAATTGAATTTTCATAGATTACGATTTATGTTCATTTTGATTTAATTATTTTGTGTGACATTGCGTTGGAATTGAGCTGTGTTGCTAACCATCTTCTTGAGATCTTGAGGTTATCTTGAGATGATTTCGGGGCTTTTTAGTGTCCCCGCGGCTCGGTCCTCGACCAGGCCTCCACCCCCAGGAAACAGCCCGTAACAGCTGACTAACACCCAGGTACCTATTTTACTGGTAGGTAACAGGGGCATAAGGTGAAAGAAACTCTGCCTATTGTTTCTTGCTGGCGTCAGGGATCGAACCCAGGACCACAGGAGCACAAGTCCTGTGTGCTGTCTGCTCGGCCGACCGGCTCCTCACCACACCGTTCATTTCGTAAGTATAACTGTAAATACCACTTGAGACAGGTAAAAACATTCATTTTTTAAGAAACAACACCATCTGTTGCACGTAAGAGCAACTCACGCTATGTAAATAAATATGGAAATGTTCGTTTGTGCATAACCGCTAATCTCCGAAAGTTCTTCACCGATTGCTTTGAAATTTTCACACAACGTTTCATTTGTATCCGAGCAGGATTTATATACATACATATAGATGTCACGTCTGTGACGGTAAAAAGCATATTTTTTTTCTTAAACTGTGGTTTTCATGTGAGAGAAATCTTCGAAACCTTTTTACTGGTATCTTTGAAATTTTGACACAACGTTGTATTGAATAGGCGCATCTTTTTATATGCCTACTGCATACATGCCTCACCTGTGACAGGAAAAAATACAAACTTTTTTGAAAAACAGCGCCATCTGTTGCACGAAGAGCATCACACGCTGTACTAAATATGTAATGATTCCATTTCAATATTTCGGAATTCATTGATAAATTTAATTTTCATAAATTTCGATTCATTTTCCTATTGATTTAATTATTTTGTGTGATATTGCATTGGAATTCAGATGTTTTGTTTACCATTCTGTTCATTTTGTGAGAATAGTTTATTTTTTATTTTTTCATTATTTTTAATTTAGTTTTTTGAACTGTGTATCTTATACTTCAGTGATGGGAACAGCTGGGGCCAGATTCACGAAGCAGTTACACAAGTACTTACGAACGTGAACATCGTTCCTCAATCTTTGATGGCTTTGGTTACATTTATTAAACAGTTTATAAGCATGAAAACTTGCGAATCAACTGTTGTTATTGTTATAAACAGCCTCCTTGTGCTTCGGAGCTCATTAACTGTTTAATAATTGTAAACAAAGCCGCCGGACTCCTGGTTCAACCTTGAAGCTGAGCTGACGTCTGGACACCTCCGCCTGGGTGCCGCCTGATCACGTATTGTTTTCGCGTTTTGGCTTTGCTACTGCCGTTTGGCATCCCTTTTCAGTGGTCCAATTGTACGACGCCTGGCGTACATATCGCCTTGGGTCACAGGATTGTTGATAGATTTTTTTTTGACGTGTACTGGCTAGTTCTCCTGGCGGGGTGACGGTGTTCGGGGGCCGGCTTGGCCGAATGGTGCCGGGGGTTGGCGGGTCTTGGTGGGCTCCTGGTGTGCCCTCAGTCGTGGTGGGCGGCTGGCTTCTGCTCTGCCGGGGGACGCTGGATGACTTTTTGCGTTTTAGTTGGGGGGCAGAGTTATGGTTTTGCTACCTGGTGTTCTCTGTGTGGAGTGGGGCCGGTGCTTGTCACTCTGAGGAACTCCTGGGGCTCCCAAATCATCTGCCTGACTGTACGTTTCTTTGCCGTATGGCATATTAGTTTCTAGTGATTGGCGTCACTCGTTTTGCGATTTGGCTTGACGTTTCACCTTTCCAGGCTTCGCGATTCACCCTTAACGTGTACGCCGGGGCGCATCCGATCCCACGATCGTCGTCGCCCCTAAATCAACAACAACAAAGCCGCCAAAGATTGAGAAAAGATGTTCAGGTTCGTAAGTGTTTGCGTAACTTCTTCGTAAATCTAACCCCAGATCATTTGATGTTCCCAATTTTCCGATGGGAACATCAGATAATTTCATCATCAGACAAGGGAGTGAGGAAATGTGAGATGGACGAGGGAACAGGAGTGGGAGATGGTGGGGAGGACCAGGGGGATGGGGGGAGGGGGGAGGGGAAGGTAGGGTGGACGAGGGAGTGTGAA